TAGAATTTAACGACCATTTTCCAAATTTGATCTTGTCACGTAGTAAAGAGAATCACTTTAGTTAGTTTGTACAAGTTAGTATACATTTGTTAGTTAGATATTATTGTTCCAAAAGCTTTAGCTTTCCTTAAACTGAATTAAATTTTAAACACACACATACATACATACGTATGTATAAATTTTTGTGCAGCATTATCTTCATTTCTTACTATCATCTTGACAATTGTTGTATGGATATAAGAAGATTTGTTATATACAGTGTAACAGGTATTTTCTCATACAAAAATCTTTAGGAATACACCTTGCCCGTCTCAATTATTTTTCTATTGAAGATTTTTAAAGTTCATAATTGTTTAAAATTGCATTTCAACAAAAACCATATATTCAAATTTCATGTCACTCTATACCTACAAACGCATACATTTGTATTACTATATCTATATTTGTAAATAGGTATGTATTTGTATCTGCTTTTGATGTAATGCTTGCAACATTCAAATATTTAATACAATTGCAATTTTCAGTTAATGTTGCACACAGATATACTATGTATGTATAAAAAATACATAAATATTTACTAAATGCACACATATACATATATACATGCTTCCTCTTAATATTATATAGAAAATAAGTACAATTGTTATAAAGAAACGGACGCAAGAATATTGAAATACAAATAAATATATAATTCTAAGAATGTTACATGGTACATTTGATTATTCTTTTTACGTCTTTGTGTAAGAAAATATGTACAACCCAGCGGTCTTGTAGGTTGGTATCTTGTATCTTATTTAAAAACAATTTATTCGAAAGGTCTTGCTAAGTATCCCAAAGAAAGTTTGATCATTTAAGCGATAGTGCCCACCACAAACTGCCGGTATGTCTGTGTTGCTACGTATGTAAGTCTTTATAAAAAATGTCTATAATCTCCTTATTAGAAGCAATAACAACAAATACTCTTATAATCTAAAATCCGAAATGCAATTGTTGCAAAATCACGTACAAATAGTTCACATAAGATTGAAAAAATATTATTATTATTATTTTAATGTATTTTCTCTTAATGGACTGGACTCTACTATAATACTGGACGTATATACAATACATTCATATCACTTTATGACAGCCATTTTAAAACATTAAATATTATTAGATTTTATTTTGCTTTCTTTGTTAGTTTTTTAAAGAAAACATTGCAATATGTATAATAAAAAAAATTATTTACGGTCAATAAATTTTATTTTGAATTTGAAATAAAAAAGTATTTCTTTAATATTTTGAAATAAAACATAATGGTATAAAACCATTATATATTAGAACTAAATCTAGATTTATTAACCAACCAATCGGTTTTAACATACACTTTATCACAAACTTCTAAGGAACTGCGTAATGTGCTTTCAAAATAAGATAATTCAGCACCTTTTATGAAGCAGAATTACCTAGATTTCAGGCCGTTTATCCTGATTGATAAGAAAACATATATGTAGCATATATCAGAATATAGTCCTCATATAAAGCCCTCAGACAATATACAAAAGCGATCACCAATTGATTCTAGCATCATTAGAGGAAGGTCTTAAATTTCGTATTGATATTGACATTAATGTGTTTCACAATAACATTGATCACTTTATCAAATTTTATAGAGTTGAGGATCTCTTGAAAATATTGTTAAAAATTTAGAAGTCCGATTTCAAGAAATTTTATAAAGTTATTTTATTAAATATATTACAAACAAAGAACTTTTAACGTAAAAAAATCTTACAGATTTTAAATTTACTACTTTGGGCCCTATTTTTTAAGCAATACATTCAATCAATATGTTCAATACCCCTTTCCATATAAAATTTAAACTCAAAAGTCTTAACATAACAATAGTTTTTTCGCAAATTGTAAGTATCTATGAATCAGCTGATATCTAAAATGAAAACGAAATTTCTCCCCAAAAAAAAAAAAAAAAACAAATTCTTGTAAAACTATTTTATTGCTAGATGTCTCTAAACAATTCATTCACAGTTACACGCAAATACCTAGAAAACTATAAGTCCGTCCGTCAGTCTGCCGTCGAACAGCCAGCCAGCACAAGAACAAGAAAATGTCTAAAAATCTCAAACGACCTTGTCATGTACTCCACACAACCTCCTCACAACAACAGCACAACGAATATGGAAAAACAAAAGGGATAAACTAGCAAAATGAAATAAAACAAAAGAAAAAGAAATCAAGTACACAAAAATAATAAATAGCGAAAACAACAACAACAGCACGAAACGTAAGAAAATTTTATTACAATGAAAAGTTTGGAAAAAACTTTTTACCAGATAAAATGAACAAGTTTAATAGAATTTTCCCCAAAAACAAAAAAAAAAAACACATGAAACTGCTGTTTTTGTGCTGTTTATTTTTATTATGGTATAACAACTCAGCAATAATAAATAATAAATAACAACAAAACTGCGAAAAACAAGAAATATATAATAGAGAAAAAAGTTTAGTTTTGTGTAATGAGAAATCAAAATTTATAGAGAAAATTTACCCCAAATTTTGTAAATAGTGGAAAAAGACCAGAAAAATTGGGCAATGAAATAGGCAAAAAAACACCCTCCAAAATTAAAATATGGTGCCAAATGAATAGACAAATAACAACAACAAACAATATAACTGTAAGTGAAAATTTTTATACTCCCACTCTAATAAATACTCTTCTAATAAATACAAAACTCTCTTCTATGAGTGGAATTTTCAGTCTAACGGTATAAATAAAAAATGCAAGCACAATAGTTGCCAGAGGGGGGGAACCAGAGGAGGCTAACTAACTAACTAACTAACTAACTAACTACGAACGAACGAACGACGAAACGAAACGAACGAACGAACGAACGAAGAAACGAACGAACGACGAACAACGAACGAACGAACGAACGAACGAACGAACGAACGAACGAACGAACGAACGAACGAAACGAACGAACGAAACGAACGAACGAACGAACGAACGAACTAAACGAACGAACGAACGAACGAACGAACGAAAACGAACGAAAAAACAAACGAACGAACGAACGAACGAACGAACGAACGAACGAACGAACGAAACGAACGAACGAACGAACGAACGAACGAACGAACGAAACGAACGAAACGAACGAACGAACGAAAGAACAACGAACGAACGAACGAACGAACGAACGAACGAACGAACGAACGAACGAACGAACGAACGAACGAACGAACGAACGAACGAAGAACGAACGAACGAACGAACGAACGAACGAACAACGAACGAAACGAACGAACGAACGAACGAACGAACGAACGACACGAACGACGAACGAACGAAGAACGAAACGAACGAACGAACGAACGAACGAACGAAAACTACGAACGAACGAACGAACGAACGAACGAACGAACGAACGAACGAACTGAACGAAACGAACGAACGAACGAACGCACAACGAACGAACGAACGAACGAAGAACGAACGAACGAACGAACGAACGAACGAACGACGACGAACAACGAACGAACGAACGAACGAACGAACGAACGAACGAACGAACGAACGAACGAACGAACTAACGAACGAACGAACGAACGAACGAACTAACGAACGAACTAACGAACGAACGAACGAACGAACGAACGAACGAACTGAACGAACGAACGAACGAACGAACGAACGAACGAACGAACGAACGAAACGAACGAAGAACGAACTAACGAACGACGAACGAACTAACAACGAACGAACGAACGAACGAACTAACGAACGAACGAACGAAAGAACGAACGAACGAACGAACGAACGAACGAACGAACGAACGAACGAACGAACGAACGAACGAAACGAACGAACGACCGAACGAACAACGAACGAACGAACGAACGAACGAAACGAACGAACGAACGAAGAACGAACGAACGAACGAACGAACGAACGAACTAACGAACGAACGAACGAACGAACGAACGAACTAACGAACGAACGAACGAACTAACGAACGAAGAACTACACTAATAACGAACGAAACTAACGAACGAACGAACGATCGAACGAACGAACTAACTAACGAACTAACTAACGAACTAACGAACTAACTAACTAAACGAACTAACGAACTAACTAACGAACTAACTAACTAACTAACTAACTAACTAACTAACGAACTAACTAACTAACTAACTATAACTAACTAACTAACTAACTAACTAACTAACTAACTAACTAACTAACTAACTAGATGTCAAGTTCTGAAGACAGATTCGGATTCAGCGCGGCTCAATCAATAGAAAAATTTTTAAAACTCATCTCTATCCCTATCACTCTACACCCTACAAAGAGACAGTAAAGAGACGATTGCCTCCGCTCTCGCTTACAAAGGGGACACTAAAGTGACGACTGTCTTCATTCTCGATTACAAAGGGTACATTCGTGACGAATGACCCAAAACATACGAATTACGATCATCCAGGTGGTTAACTATTAGTGGAAATTACTGTCTTTTTCGTATGCATTGACTCTTTGTCGAACTGCTGGGATCTGGCAGCACTTCATGACTTTCATAGACTCACACAAATACACATTCACACATACACACACATGTCACACTCAAGGAATGAACGACGCATTGCGTTAAATGGCAACCAGGTTCCTCTTTTGACTTTTTGGAAAAATTAAATGTAGAAAAAAATATAGTTCAAATAAATTATGCGCACATAAGAAAATTTTCACACACTACATATTTTTCTTCTGCTAAATTTCTTTCTAATTATTAGAAATTGAACAAAAAAATCTAACAAAATATATAATTGTTTTTCTTATAGGTTTTTTTCTTTCTTTTTAGCACATAAAATTTTTTGTGTATACAGGAACAATTTTTTTTGTTTTTGTATAGGAAAATTTTAATTTTCAAGTTAAACACACTTCACTTTTTTTTCTTCACGTCATTTTTTTTTTTTCTTCTTTTAGCAAAATTTTATATAAAACCAACCTATTTTAGTAAAAATTTCCTTAAAACATTTTAATTATGAATAATTTTTAAAACATTAACTTTTTATTTGTAAGTAAAGGCTTTTTTCCAATTAAGTTTTATATAAATTTAATTTTTTATTTTTTCTATTTAAAATAAAGTATTTTTTCTTTTATTATTTTGTGCACAGGACGTTTTAACGGTACATTGCGTTTGGAAAAAAATAATATACACGCACGCACGACAAGGACGTCCGCCGTTAAGACGAAAGTCAAAGCCTTGTCTGAACAATAGTGGTAGATAAAATTGTTTGTCTGATTACAACACACTCGTACAATCGCTTTTGCACTGACTCTCCCAAAAGACAACAAAAAAGAGAAAAAACAGAACTCATCGTTTAATACGAATTGTTTGTTGGCAAGTTTGTGTGTGTGTTTGCCCCCCCCCGAAACGGCACATGTAATCGGTTTCTTTTCACTTTACCACTAAACAAAAACAACAACATTTAGCTCTGTATCCTACAATTTACTCCCCTTTTTACTCAAAATATTATATTTTGTCATGGTAACCTTAATTTTTCCCTGCCATTTTTTATTACTCTTATAAATATAACGGTAAATTTACTCATCTTATGACTTAAAATTGTACTCAATTTTAAGATATATCTTTAGGGCGGATGCCTAACATTTTATAAAGAGCCAGAGAGAGCAAAAGCTTTTTATGAGTTTCTTATCTCTAGGCTCCCCTTTGTTGTTTTCAATTTCTTTTCTATTCTCTTTCTGTTCTGTGAAGTGAGAATTCGCCACACTATTACTACAGCTGTCTGTGTGCTAGTCACCCACTTTTTCTTCGTGTTGTCTATTTTCTATTTTCCTTTTTGTTTTCCTTTAACTGTGCATGAATGAATTTTGTTGTTGTTTTTTTTTTTTTTTTTTTCCTTTTACTAATAGTGTTTCGCAAATTAATATTTGAATTTCTTGCTCATTTTTCTTCCTTTTTTTCGTTGTGTATGATGTTTTGTAGGATAGGATTTAGTAAGTGTTGTAGTTGTTATTGTTATTTCTTTAAGTATTTTGTTTTTCATTTCATTTGTTGTTAAGGATTTTTTGTGAAATGTAACAAACGGTTTCTTAGAAAAACTATGAAATGAATTTGTTTTTAAAATGAACTTAACGAAAGTTGTAAACAAGTAATTGACGAATCTTGATGCAAAAAAAACGCTGCTATGATATTTCTAAATACCTAGGTAATCAATGATAAACTGATTGTTATAAAAATAATTCCGAATTTAGAACTCATATCGGAGTTGGACCGATGCATATGCATGTATTATTCTATTGCTAATCCGTCAATTTATTACCCAAATGTAATATTGATGTTTCGTGGTTCTACATCCAATAGTTTCTAAGATCTTGAGAAGTTCTAGCTCTGATGGTTTCCCAGATGTAAAATTTTGTTAGTAGTTAGTAGTTAGTTAGTTAGTTAGTTAGTTAGTAGTTTAGTTAGTAGTTAGTTAGTTAGTTGTTAGTTAGTTAGTTAGTAGTAGTTAGTTAGTTATGTTAGTTAGTTAGTTAGTTAGTTAGTTAGTTAGTTAGTTAGTTAGTTAGTTAGTAGTTAGTTAGTAGTTAGTTAGTTAGTTAGTTAGTTAGTTAGTTAGTTAGAGTTAGTTAGTTAGTTAGTTAGTTAGTAGTTAGTTAGTTAGTTAGTTAGTTAGTTAGTTAGTTAGTTAGTTAGTTAGTTAGTTAGTAGTTAGTTAGTTAGTAGTTAGTTAGTTAGTTAGTTAGTTAGTTAGTTAGTTAGTTAGTTAGTTAGTTAGTTAGTTAGTTAGTTAGTTAGTAGTTAGTTAGTTAGTTAGTTAGTTAGTTAGTTAGTTAGTTAGTTAGTTAGTTAGTAGTTAGTTAGTTAGTTAGTTAGTTAGTTAGTTAGTTAGTTAGTAGTTAGTTAGTTAGTTAGTTAGTTAGTTAGTTAGTTAGTTAGTTAGTTAGTTAGTTAGTTAGTTAGTTAGTTAGTTAGTTAGTTAGTTAGTTAGTTAGTTAGTTAGTTAGTAGTTAGTTAGTTAGTTAGTTAGTTAGTTAGTTAGTTAGTTAGTTAGTTAGTTAGTAGTTAGTTAGTTAGTTAGTTAGTTAGTTAGTTAGTTAGTTAGTTAGTAGTTAGTTAGTTAGTTAGTTAGTTAGTTAGTTAGTTAGTTAGTTAGTTAGTTAGTTAGTTAGTTAGTTAGTAGTTAGTTAGTTAGTTAGTTAGTTAGTAGTTAGTTAGTTAGTAGTTAGTTAGTTAGTTAGTTAGTTAGTAGTAGTTAGTTAGTTAGTTAGTTAGTTAGTAGTTAGTTAGTTAGTTAGTTAGTTAGTTAGTTAGTTAGTTAGTTAGTTAGTTAGTTAGTTAGTTAGTTAGTTAGTTAGTTAGTTAGTTAGTTAGTTAGTTAGTTAGTAGTTAGTTAGTTAGTTAGTTAGTTAGTTAGTTAGTTAGTTAGTTAGTTAGTTAGTTAGTTAGTTAGTAGTTAGTTAGTTAGTTAGTTAGTAGTTAGTTAGTTAGTTAGTTAGTTAGTTAGTAGTTAGTTAGTTAGTTAGTTAGTTAGTTAGTTAGTTAGTTAGTTAGTTAGTTAGTTAGTTAGTAGTTAGTTAGTTAGTTAGTTAGTTAGTAGTTAGTTAGTTAGTTAGTTAGTTAGTTAGTTAGTTAGTTAGTTAGTTAGTTAGTTAGTTAGTTAGTTAGTTAGTTAGTTAGTTAGTTAGTTAGTTAGTTAGTTAGTTAGTTAGTTAGTTAGTTAGTTAGTTAGTTAGTTAGTTAGTTAGTTAGTTAGTTAGTAGTTAGTTAGTTAGTTAGTTAGTTAGTTAGTTAGTTAGTTAGTTAGTTAGTTAGTTAGTTAGTTAGTTAGTTAGTTAGTTAGTAGTTAGTTAGTTAGTTAGTTAGTTAGTTAGTTAGTTAGTTAGTTAGTTAGTTAGTTAGTTAGTTAGTTAGTTAGTTAGTTAGTTAGTAGTTAGTTAGTTAGTAGTTAGTTAGTTAGTTAGTTAGTTAGTTAGTTAGTTAGTTAGTTAGTTAGTTAGTTAGTTAGTTAGTTAGTTAGTTAGTTAGTTAGTTAGTTAGTTAGTTAGTTAGTTAGTTAGTTAGTAGTTAGTTAGTTAGTTAGTTAGTTAGTTAGTTAGTTAGTTAGTTAGTTAGTAGTTAGTTAGTTAGTTAGTTAGTTAGTTAGTTAGTTAGTTAGTTAGTTAGTTAGTTAGTTAGTAGTTAGTTAGTTAGTTAGTTAGTTAGTTAGTTAGTTAGTTAGTTAGTTAGTTAGTTAGTTAGTTAGTTAGTTAGTTAGTTAGTTAGTAGTTAGTTAGTTAGTTAGTTAGTTAGTTAGTTAGTTAGTAGTTGTAGTTAGTTAGTTAGTTAGTTAGTTAGTTAGTTAGTTAGTTAGTTAGTAGTTAGTTAGTTAGTTAGTTAGTTAGTTAGTTAGTTAGTTAGTTAGTTAGTAGTTAGTTATTAAGTGCATGATTTGTATAGTTTGTTTTGCTATAGTTTGTTTATTTGAAATTCCACATTTTAATCGCCAAGGGTGTTCAGCATATCTTATGTTGCAAAGTGTCACTTCAGCAATAATTATACTAAGTAGCCATTGATAATAAAAATAATGAAATAAAACAACAACACATTAACCCTTTTTATATGACTCCTCATTTTTAATGACAAAAGTTTTTCTTATGTTTGTTTTTGTTTTCTTAATTTTCTTTCCTGTCATAAATTGTCCACAAAACACGTATTTAACAAAACAAATCATGCTTAAGTGCAGAAATAATGAAAAATTGCACACAACCAAAGATGTATGTCAACATATGACAAGAATATTAGGGTGGATCCAGTGCAATATCAAACTGAAAGTTTTCAAAATTTTTCTTAACCTTAGTACTTAAATGCATATCTAGTTTGATAAAAAAAAATATATATGATTTATGACTTAAAGTGCGATTTTGGTCGGAAATGTTATACCACTTTTTGTGGGCTACCCTATACACATACATATTCTATAGAGATAGCTCCTTATGCTGGAAGATAAATGAGTGTGTTTTTATACAACAGAAGTGTTAAAGTTGACTTTATTATTTACTTTAAGCATTGTTACAATTGTTCCCCTTAATGTATTGCAGTCAGAATGATTATGTCCATTTTAAAGGATAATACTATATGACTTTTGTTACTTAACTATGGGTCCTTAAGAAACTTGAATTTTGACCCTTGAGAAGTTTTGTTTTTGTTATTTATGTTTACCTTTCTTGGATTAATATAAATGATAATTACTTAATTATAATTAATTATTTTGTAATTTTTTTACATCGAAAAATACCCTGGTTCCCTTACGATCAGTCCATAGATTAGCTAAAACTACGTAATCGATTAGTTAAAATACTTTTCATCGGACTTTCCTACTTTATTGTCCACTGACATAGCCTATATTATTCAATAGACGTAGCAATACTAGTCCATAGATTAAAATATAGACTAGTAAATATACCAGTCCGTAGAATAGTTAATAGACCAGTAAATTTTCAATAAACTATTTCATTAATTAATAGATAGGATAAGTCCATAGACAAGTCCATAACTCAGTCAATACACCAGTCCGCAGATAACACAGTAGGCCAGTCTATAAACTAGTCAATACGATAGTTCGTAATTACGTAATGGAACAGTCAGTAAACCCTGGACTTTTCAATAAACTAGTCCATGGATTAGACAATAAACTAGTCCATAGACTAATCAATAGATTAATCCATATACAAGTCGATAGCCTAGTCAATAGACTAGACCATGGACTAGTCTGTAGGTTAGGCAATAGACTAATAAATACAATAGTCTGTAGATTAGATAATGGACCAGTCAATAGATCCAATAGTCCATAGTCTAGTCAATAGAATAGTCCATATACTAGTCAATAGAATAGTCCATAGCCTAGTCAATAAAATAGTCCATATACTAGTCAATAGAATAGTCCATATATTAGTCCGAAATTTAGACAATAGGTCAGTCTACAGACTAGTTAATAGACTACAGACTAGTCAATATTCAATATACTAGACCGTGAATAGACCTTTCAATAGACTAGTTAAGAGAATAGTCACTAGAATAGCCAATAGACTGTTTCATAAACTAGTCCATAGACCAGTCAATGGATTAGTAAGTCTATTAGTCAAAAGACTAGAATGGCCGATAGACTAGTCCATAGATTAATTAATAGAATAGTCAATAATATATTCAATAGGCTAGGTAAAAACTAGTCAATAGACTTATCAATATACTAGTTAACAGTTTATTCTAAATGTTTTATAAACTAGTCTATAGGCTAGTTAGCAGAATAGCCCATAGATTAATCCATATATTAGACAAAAGACTAGTCAGTGTACGGATTAATCCATAGACTATTCAATAGACTATTCAATACTATAGTCATATGTCTAGTCTATAGAATAGTCCGTATATTAGACAGTCAATAAAATTGTCAATAGATTATTCAATAGACTAGCTATTAGATTAGTCTATCTAGACTATTTAAGAAAATAGTCACTAGAATAGCCAATAGGCTTTCATAAACTAGTCCATAGACCAGTCAATAGACTAGTCAATGGATTAGTAAATATATTAGTCAAAAGACTAGACCTGCCAATAGACAAACCCATAGATTAATTTATAGAATAGTCAATGATATACTCAATAGGCTAGGTAAAAACTAATCAATAGACTTATCAATATACTAGTCAATAGTTTAGTCTAAATATTTTATAAACTGGTCCATACATTAGTCAATAAGCTAGTCAATGGATTAGTAAATATACTAGTCAATAGACAAAATCACAGTCCATAGACTAGTCAGTAGAATAGCCCATAGATTAATCCTTATATTAGACAAAAGTCTAGTCAGTGTATGAATTAATCGTATATAGTCAAAGCCTAATCAATAGACTATTCAATAGTATAGTCATATGTCTAGTAATAGCATAGTCCATATATTAGACAGTCAATAAACTTGTCAATAAAATTGTCAATAGACTATTCAGCAGACTAATCATTAGACTAGTCAATGAACTAGTCAGAAGTCTATTCTAGTCTATAGAACAGTCCGTATATTAAGCAAAAGACTAGTCAATAAAATAGTCAATCGACTAGCCAAAAAACAATTCACTAGTTTCAAATACACAATAGACTAGTCAATCGACTTTTCAAGAGACTAGTTATAAGATTAATCCATCGAAATACATATTGAATTTAAGCAAATTGCATTTTTCCGTTTATTTTGTGCCAAATAAACCCACAAATTCTCATTTAGTTAAATCTATTACAATTTAACAAACAAATTAGTAAAAGTAAAGCATACCTCTAGGCTTGCTAAAACAATACAACTATTAGTACTAATGAAAGCATTGCCAGCAATAAAAATACGCTTGTAAACAATATGGAAGCTTGTAAATGATTAGAAACAACTTTGTAAATGTGGCAACCGTCGGTATAAAAAACCGTTACTAGATAGACAATGTTTAAAAGTATTTATTTGTATATTTTAAACATTGTTACAGCTTTTAAATGAGAAATGGAATTTAGTTTGTTTTCTAAATGGAATTTAGTTTGTTTTCTAAACTAAAAATGTTTATAAAACAAGATTAATACAAAATAATTTGCTCTCAAAAAGCTTAAAATTTTTAACAAATTTTGTAAAAGATACTAAAGACAACTATGTTGAGTATTTCCACTAAATGTTTTAATATGTATTAATGCTAATAAAACAATCCAATAACCTTCATATACTTGTAAATATTCAAATTTTTATTAATTTTCTGGGTTTTTTTGGTTTTAAAGAGATTTTAAAAAGACAACAATAAATACAGATACATACAATACATTTAATGATGAATACATTTTGTTTTTTTGTTATTTCTTTAAAAAAAAAACTAAAAGAATAAAAACATTTTAAAACATCTCTTTTTTAAAAAAAGTTAAAGTCACATATTTTTTTATAATTTTTAATAAACTCAAAAAAATATTTTAGTTTAATATTAAGAAAATTCACTTTTGTTGCTAAAGAAAATATACATTTGTTATAAACTTTAAAGATATTTTTAATTAAGAGAAAAACGATTTATACATTTAAACAACTAAATCTCTAAAGAAGAAAAATTGGTTATCGAAAAATATTATTATGTACTTTTTTTAAAAAATTTAATATTACACTTTTTTTATATTAAAAATACGTTTTAAAATAATTTAGAAATTTAAGGTACATTTAAGCATAAAACTTTGATTTAAGATATGTAGAAGAGTGTGGTGGTGATGTTGGTTTTGTTATTAATTAAAATACACAGGACAAAAATAATTATTTGGAAAATATACGTTGTTTTGATAACATTATTAGATTTGATTACTTTTTAAAATAATTTTAAATTTTATGAAAAATTATAATATTTAAATGGTGCCATTAGTTAATAATGGTTTTCTTGGTTTACTAGCTTAAATAGTTTGTTTGGTTTTGTAATTTTAATAATTTTTTTTTAAATTTAGTTTTTATTTTCTTGTTCCTATTAAAATGTTGTTTGTGTATATGTTTTAGAAAAAGTGTTTTTTGGTTTTTAGTTTTTTTTTTCAATTTTTATACTTATGCTAACATCAATAGTAAACTTAATTGAAAAAGAATATCGGAACAATTGCTTAAAATGTTTTCCTAAAATTAAAAACAAAAATATTAAAATTTAAAAAAACATAAAAGTTCATTTATCATTTGCTAACCTTTTAGATTTTTATTATTATTTTAAATATCATTTAATAGCCATTGCTTCTTAAGAGTCAGTGTCACATAAAAGATGGTGATGATTTTCTAGAACGTGAGCGGGGTTTTGAGGGACTTTTTAAACTGTGTCTGGAAGTGCTGCGTGGTTTAAAACCGCCCGTATCGTTCCAGGGTTCAGTGACACGTCCATACCAATGTATCAAATCCATTACCTCAAGCTGGTAATAAAAACAAATTATGTATTAATTTCTATATAAAATCTTTTAATTTATTTTTATTAACTTACTTGTAAGGGTCGTGATAATTCCTTAAACATAGCAGCCTTTGTAAGATGTGAATTTTGTGATAAAAATGAAAGACACTTAGATTTTAAAGCCGATGCCATATAATGATCGGCTATACCCAAAAGACATAAAACTGAATGTTCATCGATTTGTGAATTTAAAGTATTTTCACATAATTCCTAAAAAAAATTAAATGAAATTAATTAAGATAAATTTTTAACAAATTTTAAAAAAATAAATTTTCGTTTAATTTTCTCTTTAAGGACATTTTCGTTAAATTTTCTCTTTAAGGAAATTTTCGATAAATTTTTCTCTTTAAGGAAATTTTCGATAAATTTTCTCTTTAAGGAAATTTTTGATAAATTTTCTCTTTAAGGAAATTTTTTATAAATTTCCTCTTTAAGGAAATTTTTTATAAATTTTCTCTTTAAGGAAATTTTTTATAAATTTTCTCTTTAAGGAAATTTTTGATAAATTTTCTCTTTAAGGAAATTTTTGATAAATTTTATTTTTAAGGATTTTTTCAATAAATTATCTCATTAAGGAAATTTTTGATAAATTTTCTCTTTAAGAAAATTTTTGATAAATTTTCTTTTTAAGGAAATTTTTGATAAATTTTCTTTTTAAGGAAATTTTTGATACATTTTCTCTTTAAAGAAATTTTTGATACATTTTCTCTTTAAGGAAATTTTTCTATAAATTTTCTCTTTAAGCAAAATTTTCGAAAAATCTTCTTTTTAAAGAAAATTATCGATAAAATTTCTCTTTAAGGAAAATTATCGATAAAATTTCTCTTTAAGGAAATTTTCGATAAATTTTCTCTTTAAGGAAATTTTCGACAAATTTTCTATTTAAGGAAATTTTTTAGAAATTCTGTCTTTAGGGAAATTTTTAGAAATTTTCTCTTTAAGGATATTTTCAATAAATTTTCTCTTTAAGGAAATTTTCGATAAATTTTTTCTTTAAGGAAATTTTTGATAAATTTTCTCCTTAAGGAAAATTTTCGATAAAATTTCTCTTTAAGGAAATTTTCAATAAATTTTTTCTTTAAGCAAAACTTTCGATAAATTTTCTCTTTAAGCAAAACTTTCGATAAATTTTCTCTTTAAGGAATTTTTTTTTATAAAATTTCTCTTTAAGGAAAATTTTTGATAAAATTTCTCCTCAAGGGAAATTTTCCATAAATATTCTCTTCAAGGACATTTTCGGTAAATTTTCTCTTAAAGGAAATTTTCGATAAATTTTCACTTTAAGGTTAATTTTCTCTTTAAGGAAATTTTCGATAATTTTTTGATAAAGTTTCTCTTTAAAGAAATTTAAATTTACCTTTAAATCATCTATAGAATATTTATCAGCTAATAACATCAATTCACATATTTGTTCAGCACCAACAGTTTTATCAATCGGAGCACCATACAAAAATAACAGCAAACGTCTAAAGATCACCGGTGAAGTATCAGTTATAATGATTTTTCTGAAAAAAAAAACAAACAAATAAAATATTAAAAACTATAATTAAAAATAACATTTAACCACCTACCTTGTTAAACATTCCTGCATACCAGACATTAAAGCCTTCTTAAACCATTCACATCTGGCCGATACAATTACACGATGTGCACGAAATGTATGAACTTGTATGGGTGCTTTCAGAGCTTCCATACTTTGTATATCTAAAGTGTTTCTATTTGTGACATTAGACTCAACTGTCATTGTTGGAGGATTGTGGAAAGTGTGCACCTCAAATTCCATATCGGCCAATTGGGCTGAGTGCAAAAGTCGCAAAGCATTTTTCGAGAGATTACTATTCACCGCTATGGGTGGTTCACATAAGTGACGTATTAGGTTAAGCTTTAAAATAGAACAAAAAACTTTTAGACTCCAACAAATTAGATAAAATTTAAATTCTTCTCTAAATACCTTAACACTTTTATAATCATAGTTATGTTGCCTTTCCAAAAGCAAAGGATCTAAACTTAATTCAAAGGGATCATCTTTTTGCAATGATTTCAATTCACTTTCTAAAATGTTTGAAGGTTCCAATAGACCCAATTCGATTAGAGTTTGTGTAAATTCCTGTTTTTGCACCAGTTTGCAAATCTGTTAAAAAGAGATTTTTTTTTAAATGATTTTTGGTTTGGAATTTAAAATTTTCGAACTTTACCTGACTCATGGCTTCTTTTAAAGCAGACTTATGATCAAATATCTTTACTATAACACCGTTCTGAAAGGAGATAATATCAAAATAAGCGATAAATTTAATAGAATATTTTTTAGCAGATTTTTTTTATAAAGTTTCTAAAAATTTCTCTTAAGAAAATTTTCAATAAAATTTCTTTTTTAAGAAAACTTTCGATAAAGTCTCTCCTTTTTTAAGGAAATTTTCGATAAAATTCCTCTTTTAAGGAAATTTTCCATAAAATTTCTCTTTTAAAGAAATTTTCGATAAAGTTTCTCTTTTAAGGAAATTTTCGTTAAAGTTTCTCTTTTAAGGAAATTTTCGATAAAGTTTCTCTTTTAAGGAAATTTTCGATAAAATTTCTCTTTTAAGGAAATTTTCGATAAAATTTCTCTTTTAAGGAAATTTTCGATAAAATTTCTCTTTTAAGGAAATTTTCGATAAAATTTCTCTTTTAAGGGAATTTTCGATAAAATTTCTCTTTTAAGGGAATTTTCGATAAAATTTCTCTTTTAAGGGAATTTTCGATAAAATTTCTCTTTTAAGGAAATTTTCGATAAACTTTCTCTTTTAAGGAAATTTTCGATAAAATTTCTCTTTAAGGAAATTTTCGATAAAATTTCTCTTTTAAGGAAATTTTCGATAAAATTTCTCTTTTAAGGAAATTTTCGATAAAATTTCTCTTTTAAGGAAATTTTCGATAAAATTTCTCTTTTAAGGAAATTATCAATAAAATTTCTCTTTTAAGGAAACTTTCGATAAGATTCTCTTTAAGAAATTTGTCGATAAAGTTTCTCTTTTAAGGAAATTTTCTATAAAACTTCTCTTTTAAGGAAATTTTCGATAAAGTCTCTCTTTTAAGGAAATTTTCGATAAAATTTCTCTTTTAAGGAAATTTTCGATAAAATTTCTCTTTTAAGGAAATTTTCGACAAAATTTCTCTTTTAAAAAAAAATTGATAAAATTACTCTTTTAAGAAAATTTTTGATAAAATTTCTCTTTTAAGGAAATTTTTGATAAGATTTCTCTTTTAAGGAAATTTTCGATAAGATTTCTCTTTTAAGGAAACTATCGATAAAATTTCACTTTTAAGAAAATTTTTGATAAAATTTCAACAAAAACTTTTTTAAGAAAATTTCAACAAAAGTTTCTGTTTTGATAATAGTTTTTCTTTGAAAAAATTTTCGGTAAAATATGTCTCTAAGAAAATTTTTGTAAGAAAAAATTTCTCTTTTAAGAAAATTTCGACAAAAAAAAATTTTTTTTTGATAAAAGTTTTTCTTTGAGCAAATTTCCTATAAAATCACTCCTTTTTTAATTTTTTGGTCATATGGAGAACATTTTTGATAAATTTTAACTTCAAACTTACAATTTGAGAAGTCGCCAACTTAAAACAAAACTTAAATTCCTTCCAACCCAATTTCTCCTCCAAACGATCCGATAGATTTTCCATAATCAATATATAACTGGGTATATCTACAATCAATTGTTCTAAATTTTGATTTATAGTGCTGCGTTTACTCAAGAAATCCATTTCACAATAAGTAGTTCTAAAATGATAACAATAAATTAATAAAACCTCAATATTTTCCCATTTCAAAAAACCTACTTTTTATCCCTTATTATATCCAAAGCAGCTGATATGCGTCCATAAATATCTCTCATTTTTCTCACCTCATACATGTATAAAACAAATTTCAAATCATTTTCGGCACTCATTAGACGCTGCTTATCCGAGGGATTATCATAGAGCGTCAAACCTATGGGTGGACCTCGGCGAGGACGTGGCGATAATGGTGGCTGACTAAATAAAGTGCTAACGGTATTATCATCCATGGCATTGTTGGCGGTAATGAAAGTGTTATTTTGTATTTGCATGGCTACCGCATCATCGGTAGCATATTTTAAGGATAAATCTAAATGTGAGCATTTTAAATCCTACAAAATAAGAAATAAATTAATTGTGATTTAAATTGTTTAGAGTTTTAAACTTACTTTACACATTTTTTCTAAAGAATTTTTGATTTCTTCTATCACACTAGTTAAAATCAATAAAGTGGTTTCAATCTGTAATAAAAAGTCATTCATCAAAGAAGTATGATTTTAAGTTGTAAATAAACTTTGAGTGTTACTTACCTCAGGTACTAAGTAATTAGCTAATTCATCTTTTTCATCAGGTGTTAGACTTAAAAATACATTTAATATATTGCGTAAGAGCTGATGCAATTGTGACATAAATATGGGTATACGTGTGCGTACATATTTAATTATTTCATTCTTTTGATAACGTGCTATATCGGCGGCATCCTTAATAAATATATTGCAAAATTGTAAAATTTTGGCACATCCTAAAAAAAGTGGAAAGTTTTAACAAGTTTTAGTAGTCCAAAATATTAACTAGTTGTGTACCAACTCACCTATAGAACATTCTCTTAAACTATCCTTAAATGTGGCATATAGTAAGGCGGGTTCATGTGATATAGTAACTGGATTAATGGTTTGTATGACACGATTTAAAATACTATGTAAATCCATTATTATATTGACAACAACTGGAATGAAGAAAAAGAATAATAAAAATAAGAAAGATCTCGCATCCTTTGTAACCAACACATAACTTCCAAATTACACTTCTACTTACACTTCTTCAATTTAATCATTTTCAAATATCTCTTAGCGGGTTCAGCCAACTTCATTAGCGAAGGTTGGGACTCGGCAAAATTGATAAGTTTCTCGCAAACATCCTCGTTCATATCGGGCATCAATGATTCCGTATAAAGCCAATGTAATATGGGCGTTAGTAGAAATGCAGGAAGATCATATAAAACACCCACCGGAGTCAAAGGTGACGAAGGTGGTGTATCCATAGAACTGGGAAATGGTGAAGGACTTCTGGCACGATAGGGTGATAAAGGTGGTCGACGTGTATTACAACCGGTTGAACTGCAGACATCCGTTGAATGTTGCAGCATGAGATCTTGACAAAAATTAAAAATATTTTTTGATTGAGGCTTTAAATTATGGGTTTCCAAATGAGAATCCGAATGGGAATTGGGTGGAAAACGACGCATGCCCGAACCACTCTCTTGATTGAGTAGATGTAAGGTACTACCATTCGCTTGGGTCTTGGTCGACAAACAATTAAAGGAGGACGACAGCTGGGAGTGATGTTGAGTTCTTAGTGAAGTGCTATTGTTGGCATGACATGTTTCTGTAGGCGGTTGCAAGTAAATGGGTGATAAATTGAGGCGGGGTAAAGATTTTTGCTGTTCCTGTTCCGTTTGCTTTGTGGTGCTGGTCATTGTCACCGAAATTTTAATGGGATTCGGGGAATTGGGTACACTGGCATTATCTTTACTTTTTATGGTAAGGGAATCATAATTTCTACATACAGTCTGAGGCAATGAAATGGCGCTGGTAGCATGTACACACATGCTGCAATCAAAACCGTTTAGGCGTAATATAGACGCATGAACGTGATACTGGAAGGAAAGTGGAATTTTAGATTAATTTCGTTAAAGTCCATTTTGTTTTAATGTGCAAGTTTACCTCAAAACCATCAGAGCTTTTGATAATAACATCACTAAAGTATGATTCATTTAAGGCTTCGGCAAAAGAGAATTCTTTTTCCTGTCCAGCAGCCTGGCCCTCTTTCAAACGTTTGCATTCCACCGCATACCAGTTCTCACAGTAGAGTATTAGGGAATCAGAAGGTGTTAAGGTAGATGTCTAATAAAGAAATTCAGGCAAAAATATTTAAGAAACTAGTCTATAGTCTAGTCTATAGTCTAGTCTATAGTCTAGTCTATAGTCTAGTCTATAGTCTAGTCTATAGTCTAGTCTATTGTCTAGTCTATAGTCTAGTCTATAGTCTAGTCTATAGTCTAGTCTATAGTCTAGTCTATTGTCTAGTCTATAGTCTAGTCTATAGTCTAGTCTATAGTCTAGTCTATAGTCTAGTCTATAGTCTAGTCTATAGTCTAGTCTATAGTCTAGTCTATAGTCTAGTCTATAGTCTAGTCTATAGTCTAGTCTATAGTCTAGTCTATAGTCTAGTCTATAGTCTAGTCTATAGTCTAGTCTATAGTCTAGTCTATAGTCTAGTCTATAGTCTAGTCTATAGTCTAGTCTATGGTCTAGTCTATAGTCTAGTCTATAGTCTAGTCTATAGTCTAGTCTATAGTCTAGTCTATAGTCTAGTCTATAGTCTAGTCTATAGTCTAGTCTATAGTCTAGTCTATAGTCTAGTCTATAGTCTAGTCTATAGTCTAGTCTATAGTCTAGTCTATAGTCTAGTCTATAGTCTAGTCTATAGTCTAGTCTATAGTCTAGTCTATAGTCTAGTCTATAGTCTAGTCTATAGTCTAGTCTATAGTCTAGTCTATAGTCTAGTCTATAGTCTAGTCTATAGTCTAGTCTATAGTCTAGTCTATAGTCTAGTCTATAGTCTAGTCTATAGTCTAGTCTATAGTCTAGTCTATAGTCTAGTCTATAGTCTAGTCTATAGTCTAGTCTATAGTCTAGTCTATAGTCTAGTCTATAGTCTGTCTATAGTCTAGTCTATAGTCTAGTCTATAGTCTAGTCTATAGTCTAGTCTATAGTCTAGTCTATAGTCTAGTCTATAGTCTAGTCTAGTAGTCTATAGTCTAGTCTATAGTCTAGTCTATAGTCTAGTCTATAGAGTCTATAGTCTAGTCTATAGTCTAGTCTATAGTCTAGTCTATAGTCTAGTCTATAGTCTAGTCTATAGTCTAGTCTATAGTCTAGTCTATAGTCTAGTCTATAGTCTAGCTAGTCTAGTCTATAGTCTAGTCTATAGTCTAGTCTATAGTCTAGTCTATAGTCTAGTCTATAGTCTAGTCTATAGTCTAGTCTATAGTCTAGTATAGTCTAGTCTAGTCTAGTCTATAGTCTAGTCTATAGTCTAGTCTACTCCATATTCTAGTTTAGCCTATAGTCTACTCTAGTCAATAGTTTATTATATAGTCTATAGTCCAGAGAACTTTTGGAGGAGATTTACCCTTTCAAGAATTATTAAAATGTCTTAAAATCGTATTATAAAACTTTAAACTTACATTAAATTCTATACTGTGTCCAGCAAATGCTCCAAAGATTAAACGTGGATTGCTTTCATTAACTTCAAAAGTTTCACAACTGAATAGAACACTAGCCGAATCACAACATGTATCGCAGTCTTTTGTTTCTGGCAACGGGCTGACCAAATCATTATACCATGTTATATCACTTGTATCGTCCAGACGAAATTTAATGCTACAAACAAACACACACACACACAAACAAACAAAAACAATAATATCGAAAATACGAAATTAACAAACAAACAAAAAATAATTGATTTTTCCATAAATCTGCACTAACACACACACACTCACCCCTCTAAACCGGATATTTCTTTTTTCCCCTCAAAGGTACAGGAAACAATCTGCAAAAATTTATTAAAAAGCAAAATAATTAAGTAAAAAAGTTGAGAAAATAATCGAAGGAATTTTCAAACAAAGAAACTACTACTCACCTCCCAAGTACCGTGAAAGGTATGTTCAACAGCTGCCATGTCTTCTTCAACATTAATAATAAATAGAGTGGGCGAGTTATAGAAAATTCCTCAGACGAAATAATCCATAAAATTAAAGGGACCTTTGAAAAATCACACAATTTCGCTAAATTTTAAAGCAAGTTAAATAATTATCTTATTTTAATTACTTTAAAACTTAAATTTATTTAAACAAATTTTGTAAAAATCTTAGTCTAGAAAAAATTATGTATCAGTTTTCTTCTTAACATTTTTTCACAATTTTTCTTTAAAGATAATTTACCTTTTATAATACATTTTTTCACCTTTTCTTTAATATTTCACTTAGTTTTGATACATTTTAAAAGATTTTATTTATTACTAATTTTATTTCGCTAAAATTTACTTTTTTCCCTAAATTTTTTTCTCGTAAGTTTTTAGAATAAGTTTTTCTTTAAGTTAAAATTTTCTTGAATAATTTTTCATTCTCTCGCTTTCTTTTTTTGACTTCAATACCACCAACACTCACATACAAACACACTTACACAATACATATAGAAATAGCAACAGTAGAAAATTGAGAGTTGAAGGAAATTGATATATAACGGTATATGTTTGACACACAGCTGTTAACAGTCAGGGTTGTTTTCGAATAGTAGTAAATTAATTCAGCTGTTTGAGAAATGTCCTCAATTTGGTTAAGAATTGTTAAATAATATAAGTATTTTAATTTGATATTAACAAAAAAAAGAATTTATTTAATTTATTGTGTGAAAAAAATTTGTTAAAAAAACACCAAATATTTTTTAGTTAAAAAATCAGCTGTGTACTTAATCAGTTTTCAATTAATTTGTGGCTGACAATACTAATCAAATTAACCCTATAGAGACAGGTCCAATTCTAAAGGTCCAAACTAACAAGAACTGAACTGGAACTAGAACTGAACTAGAACTGGAACTAGAACTGAACTAGAACTGAACTAGAACTGAACTAGAACTGAACTAGAACTGAACTAGAACTGAACTAGAACGGAACTAGAACTAGAACTGAACTAGAACTGAACTAGAACTGAACTAGAACTGAACTAGAACTGAACTAGAACTGAACTAGAACTGAACTAGAACTGAACTAGAACTGAACTAGAACTGAACTAGAACTGAACTAGAACTGAACTAGAACTGAACTAGAACTGAACTAGAACTGAACTAGAACTGAACTAGAACTGAACTAGAACTGAACTAGAACTGAACTAGAACTGAACTAGAACTGAACTAGAACTAAACTAGAACTGAACTAGAACTGAACTAGAACTGAACTAGAACTGAACTAGAACTGAACTAGAACTGAACTAGAACTGAACTAGAACTGAACTAGAACTAAACTAGAACTGAACTAGAACTGAACTAGAACTGAACTAGAACTGAACTAGAACTGAACTAGAACTGAACTAGAACTGAACTAGAACTGAACTAGAACTGAACTAGAACTAAACTAGAACTGAACTAGAACTGAACTAGAACTGAACTAGAACTGAACTAGAACTGAACTAGAACTGAACTAGAACTGAACTAGAACTGAACTAGAACTGAACTAGAACTGAACTAGAACTGAACTAGAACTGAACTAGAACTGAACTAGAACTGAACTAGAACTGAACTAGAACTGAACTAGAACTGAACTAGAACTGAACTAGAACTGAACTAGAACTGAACTAGAACTGAACTAGAACTGAACTAGAACTGAACTAGAACTGAACTAGAACTGAACTAGAACTGAACTAGAACTGACTAGAACTGAACTGAACTAGAACTGAACTAGAACTGAACTAGAACTAACTAGAACTGAACTAGAACTGAACTAGAACTGAACTAGAACTGAACTAGAACTGAACTAGAACTGAACTAGAACTGAACTAGAACTGAACTAGAACTGAACTAGAACTGAACTAGAACTGAACTAGAACTGAACTAGAACTGAACTAGAACTGAACTAGAACTGAACTAGAACTGAAACTAGAACTGAACTAGAACTGAACTAGAACTGAACTAGAACTGAACTAGAACTGAACTAGAAACTGAACTAGAACTGAACTAGAACTGAACTAGAACTGAACTAGAACTGAACTAGAACTGAACTAGAACTGAACTAGAACTGAACTAGACTGAACTAGAACTGACTAGAACTGAACTAGAACTGAACTAGAACTGAACTAGAACTGAACTAGAACTGAACTAGAACTGAACTAGAACTGAACTAGAACTGAACTAGAACTGAACTAGAACTGAACTAGAACTGAACTAGAACTGAACTAGAAACTGAACTAGAACTGACTAGAACTGAACTAGAACTGAACTAGAACTGAACTAGAACTGAACTAGAACTGAACTAGAACTGAACTAGAACTGAACTAGAACTGAACTAGAACTGAACTAGAACTGAACTAGAACTGAACTAGAACTGAACTAGAACTGAACTAGAACTGAACTAGAACTGAACTAGAACTGAACTAGAACTGAACTAGAACTGAACTAGAACTGAACTAGAACTGAACTAGAACTGAACTAGAACTGAACTAGAACTGAACTAGAACTGAACTAGAACTGAACTAGAACTGAACTAGAACTGAACTAGAACTGAACTAGAAACTGAACTAGAACTGAACTAGAACTGAACTAGAACTGAACTAGAACTGAACTAGAACTGAACTAGAACTGAACTAGAACTGAACTAGAACTGAACTAGAACTGAACTAGAACTGAACTAGAACTGAACTAGAACTGAACTAGAACTGAACTAGAACTGAACAAACTGAACTAGAACTGAACTAGAACTGAACTAGAACTGAACTAGAACTGAACTAGAACTGAACTAGAACTGAACTAGAACTGAACTAGAACTGAACTAGAACTGAACTAGAACTGAACTAGAACTGAACTAGAACTGAACTAGAACTGAACTAGAACTGAACTAGAGAACTGAACTAGAACTGAACTAGAACTGAACTAGAACTGAACTAGAACTGAACTAGAACTGAACTAGAACTGAACTAGAACTGAACTAGAACTGAACTAGAACTGAACTAGAACTGAACTAGAACTGAACTAGAACTGAACTAGAACTGAACTAGAACTGAACTAGAACTGAACTAGAACTGAACTAGAACTGAACTAGAACTGAACTAGAACTGAACTAGAACTGAACTAGAACTGAACTAGAACTGAACTAGAACTGAACTAGAACTGAACTAGAACTGAACTAGAACTGAACTAGAACTGAACTAGAACTGAACTAGAACTGAACTAGAACTGAACTAGAACTGAACTAGAACTGAACTAGAACTGAACTAGAACTGAACTAGAACTGAACTAGAACTGAACTAGAACTGAACTAGAACTGAACTAGAACTGAACTAGAACTGAACTAGAACTGAACTAGAACTGAACTAGAACTGAACTAGAACTGAAAAATACAACAATTAAATTTGATTTAGAAATTTATTTAATAAAATGGAATTTTTATAATATATTTTTTTTAATTGCTAAGGCACCACGATTTTGTCTAATATATTCTAATGATCCTAATTAATTTAAAAAAAAAAACGAGTTTAAAAATTTTTAATATTATGTACTATTTGGTGAAAATGTATGTAAAGGACGGATTAAAATAAGTGAAATTTAACTTGAATTTAAAATCACATGAAATAGTTATATTTAAAATTCTAATTAAAAGTGATGTTTTAGTATCCATTTTTTCGATAACAATGAAAGAAAAAATATTTATAATCTTTTCTAATTAAAAGTAAAATAAAAGAATGTGGAATCTATTAAGGCACCGAGAATTCTTCTGTAAAATAATTTTCTAATATTCGTTGTTGTTTATATATATTATTCCAATATTTGACAGATTTGCTGTTAGGATTAAAAAACAGCATAATTGTGTAATTCACAAGTTGGTTTGAAAAATATTCTTAACATACAACAATACGATACTGGTGGTGAATTGTATATGTGCTAATCAGCCAAGAATTGAAACAAAATAATCATTAAAAATTCTTAAATGCTTTATCAGCATTATGAAAATTTTCTATGGAATCATTAGTTTTTCTTATAACAATATTATCGGCAGTAATAATATCTAGAGGACGAAGCTGAAATTAAAAAATTAATGAAATTTATTTAAAATCTATATAAAATAATTTCATAGAAATTTACCTTTAAGCAATGTTGAGCTTCAATTTTAAAATCTTTAAACATGGCGATTCTTTGTAAAGCTCTAACCGAGCGTATACGTTTTTGAGCATCGAATTCCAATAGACGTTTCAAAACATCTTTAGCCTCATGACATAAACCAGCAACTTCTTCAGGTAGAAAATTGGTCGTCATATCAAGTAATTTTGTTTCACATTCCTTGGCTTTTACAAACTCTTCGCTGTCATTTAATTGCAAATGACCGGCATTATCTACTTGGTCTTTGGGTTGTAAATGTTGGGGTAAATTAATGGTGATAAATTGTCTGATATCAGGACTCTATAAATAGAAAAATAAAATTTTTCTCAGTGTGTTAGGCTATTGCACCTGCTATTAAAAATCTCTTAAACATAAACTTAAACTTCCTTTTTATATTTTATTCTTTGATATTTTCTTCTTTTTTTCTCTCCAACCAGCGACTATTTATAACTTTAACCAGAATTGTTAGTGTCTAAACCGAAGAAGAAAATCTATTTTTATATCAGCAATATTTTAAGAACATACTAACACTAACAATAAACCAACCAGTAAGTAATGTAAGCAATCTCTCGGGACGGACTTAACTATAGCCCGAGTGTATTGGTCTAAGTATAGAAATTGGTTGTATGAGTAGTCTTGCAATCATGTTTAAAATTATTAATTGCCATTATAAATGGAAAAACAACTTTAAAGACTTATATATGGATACACACATACGTTCTTTTCTTCACTACACTACGAAATGGAGTGGAAAAAGTTAAAGACAACAAAAATGCCTCATAAATGGAAATGATTGTAAAATAAAGATCTTGTTAAAAGATGTTGTTGTTTTAGTCCTTTTTTCAACGCTTGTTCTTTTCTTTTGGTTTTATGCATTTTTTAGTTGTTACCATCTTGATAAGTTGATGATGCCTTTTAACTTCTAGTATATAATCAGGTGTACCATCAAAGCTTTAAACTACAAATTAGCATATAGTTTTTTTTAATTTTTAATTAATAGTTATTTTATAATGATCACATGTGAAGCTTCCTCTTTTCTATAAATATACACAGTCGAATAGTTTAAAAAATTGAAGAAGATGATAGAGTTTGAAAATGTTTTAATTATAAAATCAATAACATATTATAATTTCTTAAGTGAAAACATTGAAAATTTTAATTGACCAATTACTAGGGACATTTGGTATGAAATTATTAAAAATATATTAAAATAAAAGAAATCTTTTGATTTAAACATTTTTTGATATTCTAAACAAGAATACCACATTGACATTAGTTGAGAAAATAAAACATTTTCTGATCTGAAAAATAAATGAAGTACTCTAGAACCGAAATAGAACTCAACTATAGCTGAACTAGAGCTGAACTAGAAACTGAACTGACTAGAACTGAACTAGAACTGAACTAGAACTGAACTAGAACTGAACTAGAACTGAACTAGAACTGAACTAGAAACTGAACTAGAACTGAACTAGAACTGAACTGAAACTGAACTAGAACTGAACTAGAACTGAACTAGAACTGAACTAGAACTGAACTAGAACTGAACTAGAACTGAACTAGAACTGAACTAGAACTGAACTAGAACTGAACTAGAACTGAACTAGAAACTGAACTAGAACTGAACTAAACTGAACTAGAACTGAACTAGAACTGAACTAGAACTAAACTAGAACTGAACTAGAACTGAACTAGAACTGAACTAGAACTGAACTAGAACTAGAACTGAACTAGAACTGAACTAGAACTATAACTATAACTATAACTAGAACTAGAACTGAACTAGAACTAGAACTGAACTAGAACTAGAACTGAACTAGAACTGAACTAGAACTGAACTAGAACTGAACTAGAACTGAACTAGAACTGAACTAGAACTGAACTAGAACTGAACTTGAACTGAACTAGAACTGAACTAGAACTGAACTAGAACTGAACTAGAACTGAACTAGAACTGAACTAGAACTGAACTAGAACTGAACTAGAACTGAACTAGAACTGAACTAGAACTGAACTAGAACTGAACTAGAACTGAACTAGAACTGAACTAGAACTGAACTAGAACTGAACTAGAACTGAACTAGAACTGAACTAGAACTGAAAAAACTGAACTAGAACTGAACTAGAACTGAACTAGAACTGAACTAGAACTGAACTAGAACTGAACTAGAACTGAACTAGAACTGAACTAGAACTGAACTAGAACTGAACTAGAGAACTGATCTAGAACTCAATTAGAACTGAACTAGAACTGAACTAGAACTGAACTAGAACTGAACTAGAACTGAACTAGAACTGAACTAGAACTGAACTAGAACTGAACTAGAACTGAACTAGAACTCAACTAGAACTGAACTAGAACTGAACTAGAACTGAACTGACTAGAACTGAACTAGAACTGAACTAGAACTGAACTAACTGAACTAGAACTCAACTAGAACTGAACTAGAACTGAACTAGGAATGAACTAGAACTGAACTAGAAACTGAACTAGACTGAACTAGAACTGAACTAGAACTGAACTAGAACTGAACTAGAACTGAACTAGAACTGAACTAGAACTGAACTAGAACTGAAACTAGAACTGAACTAGAACTGAACTAGAACTGAACTAGAACTGAACTAGAACTGAACTAGAACTGAACTAGAACTGAACTAGAACTGAACTAGAACTGAACTAGAACTGAACTAGAACTGAACTAGAACTGAACTAGAACTGAACTAGAAACGAACTAGAACTGAACTAGAACTGAACTAGAACTGAACTAGAACTGAACTAGAACTGACTAGACTGAACTAGAACTGAACTAGAACTGAACTAGAACTGAACTAGAACTGAACTAGAACTGAACTAGAACTGAACTAGTAACTGAACTAGAACTGAACTAGAACTGAACTAGAACTGAACTAGAACTAGAACTGAACTAGAACTGAACTAGAACTGAACTAGAACTGAACTAGACTGAACTAGAACTGAACTAGAACTGAACTAGAACTGAACTAGAACTGAACTAGAACTGAACTAGAACTGACTAGAACTGAACTAGAACTGACTATACTGAACTAGAACTGAACTATAACTGAACTAGAACTGAACTAGAACTGAACTAGAACTGAACTAGAACTGAACTCGAACTGAACTAGAACTGAATAAACTGAACTAGAACTGAACTAGAACTGAACTAGAACTGAACGAGAACTGAACTAGAACTGAACTAGAACTGAACTAGAACTGAACTAGAACTGAACTAGGAACTGACTAGAACTGAACTAGAACTGAACTAGAAACTGAACTAGAACTGAACTAGAACTGAACTAAACTGAACTAGAACTGAACTAGAACTGAACTAGAACTGAACTAGAAATGAACTAGAACTGAACTAGAACTGAACTAGAACTGAACTAGAACTTGAACTAGAACTGAACTAGAACTGAACTAGAACTGAAACTAGAACTGACTAGAACTGAACTAGAACTAAACTAGAACTGAACTAGAACTGAACTAGAACTGAACTAGAACCTGAACAGAAACTGAACTAGAACTGAACTGAGAACTGAACTAGAACTGAACTAGAACTGAAACTAGAACTGAACTAGAACTGAACTAGAAGACTGAAACTAGAACCGAACTAGAAATAACTAGAACTGAACTAGAATGAACTAGAACTGTGAACTAGAACTGAACTAGAACTATACTAAAACCGAATTAGTATTTGATCCTAGTAATTAATTTTTAAACGTTCTTATAATTACAATAAACATTTTCGATATCAGTTTAATTCTAATTTAAACATTAATTTAAAAATCATCTTAAGCATTATAGCCAAATAAATTCTTTCCCTTCAAATGGCGTAAAATAAACACATTAACTTAATTATTATTTAATTTGCTTTATCGTTATTAACGCTCACAGCATAAAAAAAACTTTTTTTTTCAAATTAACCGGAAATTTATTTTTATTTAATAATAAATTTTATATATCTGCACAACGTTATTTTTAACTTCTTGAGATTATATATATTTTCGCAATTTTTACACTTTTTTTGTTTGTTGATTTTAAATAAAATACAAACATAGTGACATTAAGAATATATTAGCCTTATTTTATAATAAACAAAACACTTGACAACGACTTTGGCGTGTCTGAAGCACAATTAAGCCCAGCTAATGTCCTCATCCGAAAAAAACATAAAATGTACACAAAAAAAAAAAAAAAACAACAAACAAACCAACATTTATACAAATGAACAATGCGCAGGCGCATTTACACGCAACATTCATAAAGCAATAAGAGTGAAAAAAGAAACACATGAAATATACGAGTAGTTAAGGTCTAGGTCGTAATTTCCTCAGATGGACGGACAGACAAACAGACATTTAGCAAAAATGTTTTTTGACTTGGTTTTGTTTGATTTTTTTGCTCATTCTCTGTTTGGCAGTTTTTTTTATTAGCAAACATGCAACATATGTAGAAACATCAAGATTTAAAGTGTTGGGCATAAGTGGTGGAAAAAGTACATAAATGTTTTTTTTAAATCAAAGAAAAAACATCAATTTTTATATATATTTCTGATGCCCATCCTAAATGATCATCATTCTTTTATCTCCATTTTGTGAATGCTACCAGTGAGTACTAATACAGATCAGACATGGAAAAAGTAATTTTTGAAATAAGTTTAAAAACAGGACTTTTTTGGATTAAAAGTACTTTATTACTCTCAGATTTTGTATATATTAGACTAAAATTTCTAGGGACTACTACATATTTGAGACAACTAGAGTTTATAGTTTTGCCCGTTAACTCCTAAGAAGATGTGCTTTACGTGAACACCTGCCGTGTTGGCCTTATTTCACGGTAGTACTTTTTCAACCACTGAGTGAGCTACCTAGACGACTCACCACCGCCCCTTGTGTTTCTTACACGCCTGTGGCGATTTTTGTACATGGTTCTGACGGTCCATATACAAGCACTCGAGCTATGTAATCTCAGACCATTGCTGCCTCTTGCTTAACATCCGAGATGCAAAAATATCACTTCCGATTACAATCACGCGGATAGGATGGCCTCTGTTGATTCGGCTTGTATAAGATTGGCCTTATTTCACGGTAGTACTTTATCAACCACTGAGTGAGCTACCTAGACGACTCACCACCGCCCCTTGTGTTTCTTACACGCCTGTGGCGATTTTTGTACATGGTTCTGACGGTCCATATACAAGCACTCGAGCTATCTAATCTCAGACCATTGCTGCCTCTTGCTTAACATCCGAGATGCAAAAATATCACTTCCGATTACAATCACGCGGATAGGATGGCCTCTGTTGATTCGGCTTGTATAAGATACCTTTCATCCATCACCATTCAACCCAGCACACTTCAGATTCATTCGACACACTCATAGAGAACAACATCCGACACACTTAAGAGATATACAGGTGGGTAAGTTCCGTATACATCCTTTATCAAACACATTTCCAACGCTTAGTCCCACAGTCACTCCTTTGTGGGGTATCTGTTGTATCGGCAACAGCATCGAACTAATCGAGAATTATAGTCCTTAACCAACATTCTCTTCCCAAGAATTTGGATTTAAACCACCAGAAAGGCAGGCAATACATCTGAACATTACCAGTTTATAGTCTAGACATACTAGAGGTACATGTAGCACCTCATTTCCCTGGGATTGCAATAACACCAAGATGGTGTTCATTAAGGTAACATGCCCCGGAGGGCTACTAGATTTTGGACTATGGACTTGGCTATTGACTAGTTTAGGGATTAACCTTTTGACTAGTCTATAAACTAGCCTGGGGCAACCTACCGAGCGAATATACCACCACAATTGTTACAGATGGTTCTAAAATGTACTGTGGTGTTGGTTCTGGGATAAGTACATCTCACCGTCTTC